CTTTCTTTCTTTCTTTCTTTCTTTCTTTCTTTCTTTCTTTCTTTCTTTCTTTCTTTCTTGAGTCCAGGGAGCAAAGAAGCAGCCCACTTTTTGATGTGGTCACAAAAAATAAATAAATAAATCTGACATTGCAGCAGAGATCTCTGTGATGTTTCAAATGTCAGGCGGGAATGACTGTGCTTACCTGTTCTGAGTTCCCAGGATGAAACACTGGGAATATCTCTGCATGTGCCCAAAGGGAGGAGCCCGAATCAAAAAACAGGCCTGGTTGAGCATGTGTATGTATGCACACGCATATGCCTTCTCTCCAGACACAGCGGCACAGACCCCCCCACACACACACACAGAGTGGGTCCAAGTCCCCACCTGATGGCAAGTCCAAGCATCTAACCTAGACCTTATTGAGCTGTCTACATCTTACACTTTTCTTTCTTCTATGTGGGCCCTGATTCTGTCAGATAACACACACATGGGGGGGGGGAGAGAAGGAGGGAGGGAGGGAGAAGGGGGAGGGAGGGGGCCTAGCTGGGAGCCAGGGGAACCCCCTCCCCTCCAGGAGTCAGGGAAGGCCAGCTGCTGTGCTGTATCCCCAGCTGTGCTGTATCCCCAGCTGTGCTGTCCCCAAGGCACAGGAATTGGCTATGAACAGGGATGGCACAGCTGGGGATGGAGGGGCTCTCACCCTGGCATTGCTGCCTTCAGCTGGGTCATCTCAGACCTGCAGAGGTCAAGGGAAGATAACATGAAGGCAAAGACAGGAAGTGTTCAACACAGCAGCTACACTGCTGCCTTTCAAAGTGCTATTTACGGACACACCAGTGACTATAACCCTGGTGTTGATCCACCGAACCCTGGAGCTCAGCCGCCTGCTGGCTTCTCATTAGCTACCTCCCCCGAGGCTGTGCTGTGGCTATCTGTCTGGCCCTGTTACTCAGGTTGCCCGCAGACAGATATTTAGCTTTGCTTTCTATTTTATCCTTTGGAATTTTCCAGAATGGCCTCGTGGGTTTGGATAGGTTACTGGAAGGAAAACCATGCTGCTGTCCATCCGTGAGCATTGCCTGCCAGCCCCGCACTAGGCACTCTTCCTATGTTATCTCAAATTCCTCCTAAAGATTGTGAGGTTAGCATCCCTGTCTCAGAAGTGGAAGATCTAAGGTTAACCCAGGATGCTGTTAGCTTTGTACTGGAGCCCCAAACATGGCTGCCTGAGGAAGAGAAGTCTGGTCTCTCCTATGTCACACAGGATAAGAATGACAGGGTGCTGTTGACACCCCACAAATGTTACAGATGTTACATTATCTGTGGTACTCACCCCTATGGGCCTGTTTCAGTCACCTGTTCTCCCACAAGGAGTATTGAATAGCAGGAAGTCAGGAGGAGGGAGGGGATGAGCTCAGACCAGGACAGCAGACCTTCCTCAGACATCCACAGTAGGTCCCAGCTATATCCTACTGGCCAGAACTGCTTCCCGGGTGGTAGGTAGCTGCAAGGGAGGCAAGGAAACAGACTTGTCCACTGCTGGCCCAAGCAGTGCAGGACTCCTGAGAGAGAAAGGAGGAGAGAGCAGCCTCGGCTGGGGTTCTCTGTGCCACACCACACTGCAGGCATTGCCACTCTGAGAACATTCTGGATGCTCTACAGGGCTGTCTTCCATGTTCTACATCCATAAACATTTCTGTAAGGTCTGAGGCAACAGATGTTACAAGCATCAATAGTAATAGGGGTTCGAGCCACTAACTGCACATTTGCTCTGGATGGGGTATTGTGCAAAGAGGGGTACACTGGCACAGTGACGTACAGCCCAGCCTGCCCCTCAGTCCTTCTCCAAGAGCAGTGGTATTTGCCATGCTGGGGATGATGGTTCTCTTACTTGAGACAAGCAGAGGCCATTTTACTGACCTGTTAATTAGTCCCTCTCTCAACCCCAGAACCTCTCAATCCATCCCCATGTGGCCCCAACACTGGAAATGTCACTGGTATTTGTTGAATGGCTAGAAGAATCTGTAACTCATGTTAAATGAGACAGAAATGTTTCAGATGTGAGTTGTGGAACTTCACATTGTATATCTGCAGATCCTGCAGGGCTAGCAGGGTATCAGAGTCATACCACATGAATAGGATCTTACCGGAAACAGAAGGTGCCCTGGTTACGGTTACTATCGCTGTGATGAAACACCGTAACCAACAGCGAGTTGGGAAGGAAATAATTTAATTGGATTATGCTTCCACGCCACACTCAATCATTAAAGGAGGTCAGGACAGGCACTCAAGCAGGATGGAAACTGGAAGCAGGAGCTGATGCCCAGGCCATGGAGGAGTGCTGCTTGCTGGCTTACTCGCCATGGCTTGCTCATCCTTTCTTATAGAACCCAGGACTACCCGCTCACAGGTGGCACCACACACAATAGCCCGGGCCCTCGCACGTCAGTCACTAATTAAGAAAAGGCTTTCCTACACCCCAATCTTATAGAGGCATTTTCTTAATTGAGGTTTCCTGCTCACAGATGACTCTAGCCTGTGTCAGGGTGACATAAAATTAGCCAGCACAGGGGGATTCTGACCACTGAATCCCCTGGAGAGCCTGGGTGGAGACTGATGTCTGTCTCCCTGACCCTCAGATCCTGATGTCTTTGGTCTTCGGTGCAGTCCAGACACTGCAACACTGCAATTCTTCTCTCTCTCTCTCTCTCTCTCTCTCTCTCTCTCTCTCTCTCTCTTTCTCTCTCTCTCTCTCCCCCCTTGTGTGTGTGTGTGTTGTTCTGGTTGTTTGTTTGTTTGCAGGGTTTCTCTGTGTAGCCCTGGCTGTCCAGGAACTCACTCTGTAGATCAGGCTGGCCTGGAATTCAGAGATTCACCTCTCTCTTCCTCCCAAGTGCTGGGATTCAAGGTATAAACCACCACCAGCCATCTCAGACTCTGCAATTCTTGGTTAACC